CTAAAGGCACTCAAGATAAAAACACAAACCTAAGGATCCCATGCTAGGGATCCCCCTATGAGTTAGAACACACAGTGTCTTTCTTTCTGGGTCTGGGTTACCTCACTCAGTACAATGTGTTCCACTTCCATCCTGCAACTTCGTTAACTTCATTTCCTTTATGGCTGAATAAAATTCCATTGTGTATAGGTGCCGGGGTGATGTATATAAGAAACGCCCCCCATAGTGTCGTCATTTGAACACTGCTCCCCAGTTGGTGACGCTGTTTGGGAAAATGGTAGAACTTTTAGGAAGTGGAGCCTGGCTGGGAGGTTTGCCACTGGGGAACAGCTCTGTGGGTTTATAATCTGGCTCCTCTTCGTGTTGCTTCTGACTGCTGTGTGAGAGATGTGATGAGCCAGGTCTGTTGCCCTGCCTTCCCCCGCCTAGATGGACCCTATCCTTCTGGACTGCTTTCTTCCTTAAGTTGCTCTGTCAGAGTGCTCTCTTTCAGCAGTGGAGACATCACTAATACTGCCTCCACATTAGCCAATCATCAGGTGGACATCGAGGCTGTTGCCATGTCTTTGCTATTGTGAAAAGAACAGCGATAAACATGGAGGAGCGCCCGGCTCTGCACATGCCCAGGACTGCTGCAGCTGCAGACGGTAGATCTCTGTCTCGACGTTCAGAAACCACCACAAGAAGGCTGCGCCTCTGCTGGATTCCACCAGCGTGCACAGGCCCCCAATCCTTCTATTCTGAGTAGCATTTGTCATTTGTTTTCTTCATCTTAGCTAGTCTGACTTGGGGGTAGAAGCGTCTCCAACTTTTCTGTTTGCTTTTTGGCTAAATTTTGCTTTTCTTTCCCAACTCACAGGATTGTTTCTCATCGGTGGTGCCAATTCCCATCTATGTTTCTCCTTTCTTCTCTGGGTCCTGAGTTGATTTCTAGCTCCAATAATCTCATTGTTTTCATCCATTTTGCAGTCACTGGTAGTTTTTTATATAAATTCTGAATATGTTACCTGTTTTTTCATGCATTCCAGTGTCTTCGCATTTTTTACTATTTGTTTTAACTGATTTTTATTGAGCTCTACATTTTTTTCTGCTCCCCTCCCCTTTAATCCTCTCCTATGCTGTCAATTTACTCAGGAGATCTTGTCTTGTTCTTCTTCCCATGTAGATTAGATCCATGCATGTTTCTCTTAGAGTCCTCATTGTTGTCTAGGTTTTCTGGGATTACGATCTGTAGGCTGGTTTTCTTTGCTTTATGTTTAAAAACCACTTAGAGTGAGTACATATAATAATTGTCTTTCTGGGTCTGGGTTACCTTACCCAATATGATGTTTTCTAGTTCCATCCATTTGCCTGCAAATTTCAAGATGTCATTATTTTTTTCTACTATGTAATACTCCATTGTGTAAATGTACCACATTTTCCTTATCCATTCTTCAGTCGAGGGGCATTTAGATTGTTTCCAGGTTCTGGCTATGACAAACAATGCTGCTATGAACATGATTGGGCACATGTCCTTGTGGTGTGTTTGAGCATCCTTTGGGTATATACCCAAAAGTGGTATTGCTGGGTCTTGAGAAAGAATGTTTCCTAATTTTCTGAGAAATTTCCACACTGATTTCCAATGCACCTGTGCCAATTTACACTCCCACCAGCAATGCAGAAGTGTTCCCTTTACCACACAGCCTCTCCAGCATAAGTTGTCATCAGTGTTTTTGATCTTGGCCATTCTTACAGGTGTAAGATGGAATCTCAGAGTTATTTTGTTTTGCATTTCTCTGATGGCTAAGGATGCTGAGCATTTTCTTAAGGGTCTTTCAGCCATTTTAGATTCCTCTGTGGAGAGTTCTCTGTTTAGGTTTGGACTCCATTCACTCTCTTCATATCTATTCAATACAGTTCTTGAGGTCCCAGCTAGAGCAATAAGATAACAAAGGGAGATCAAGGGGATACAAATCAAAAAAGAAGAAGTCAAACTCTCACTACTTACTGATGCTATTATAATTTACATAAGCGACCCCAAAACTTCTACCAAGGAACTTCTACAATGCATAAACACTTTCAGTAATGTAGCAGAATACAAGATTAACTCAAAATAATCAAGAACCATCTTTTACACAGATGATAAATGGACTGAGAAAGAAATCAGAGAAACATCACCCTTCAAAATAGCCACAAATAGCATAAAACATCTTGGAGTAACTCTAACCAAACAAGTATAAGACTTGTATGACAAGAACTTTAAATATTTAAAGAAAGAAATTGAAGAAGACACCAGAAAGTAGAAAGATATCCCATGCTCTTGGGTAGGCAGAATTAGCTTAGTAAAAATGGCAATCTTACCAAAAGCAATCTATGCAATGCCCATCAAAATCCCAGCAAAATTCTTCACAGACCTTGAAAGAATGGTACTCAATTTTATATGGAAAAGCAAAAAAACCAAGATAGCCATTACAATCCTGTACAATAAAAGAACTTCTGGAGGCATGACAATCCCTGACTTCAAACTCTATTACAGAGCTACAGTACTGAAAACAGCCTAGTATTGGCATAAAAACAGACAGGAGGACCAATAGATCCAAATTGAAAACCCAGATATTAGTCCACACATCTACCAACACCTGATTTTCGACAAAGAAACAAAAATATAAAATGGAAAAAAAAGCATATTTAACAAATGGTGCTGGCATAACTGGATATCAACATGTAGAAGAATGGAAATTGATCCATATCTACCACCATGCACAAAACTCGAGTCTAAATGGACCTCAAGATAAAACTAGCCACACTGAACTTCATAGAAGAGAAAGCGGGATGTACACTTGAATGCATTGGCACAGAAGACCACTTCCTAAATACAACTCCAACAGCACAGACACAGAGAAACAATTAATAAATGGAAACTCCTGAAACTGAAAAGCTTCTATAAAGCAAAGGACACGATCAACAAGACAAAACGACAGCCTACAGAATGGGGAAAAGATCTTCACCAACCCCACATCAGAGAGAGGTCTGGTCTGATTTTTCCTAGTTTTTGTTTTTCTTTGTTATGATCTTCGCATCTACTGGGATGGATATATTTTCTGGTTTTGTGACTCTCTTTAGTGAGCAGTCCTCACTTGAAGGCCCCAAATCCAGTACCACTCTCCATGAAGGTAATAAAAGCAATAGTATAGCATAAAAGCAATAGCACCAGACAAAAATCAGACATAGAAATGTACTTAAAATCAACTGTTAAACCACTAAAGAAAAGCAAACAGCAAAACTAATGAGGAGCTTTATTCTATTGAACTGGTGCTCAGCCCAGCATGGCTGAGGAGCAGCTGCTTCAATCATTTCTATGCCTACCAGGACTGCTTCTGACTAAGGGTTGCTCGGCAGCCTGTGGGCCAGGCTGGCCCCCACTCAGGGCATTCTCCAGCTTGTACATCTTTGGATTGCTAATGTCGAAGTCAAAGGGGTGTCTCCTGAGGATACTGGGGTGTGGGAGGTGGTGACACACTGAGATCTGTTGCTGAAGGACCCAGTCTTGCTCAGTATTAAACATGCTACAGGATAGAGGCGCATGTAGTAATGTCCACGGGACCTGAGAACTGCATGACAAAGGGGAAGCTATGCAGCTCCTGCGCCTTGCTGACTTCTGGCTTAGGGCTATCATTCTCCATGGAGTTACCTATTCCTGGCCAAAGAAAGTAGGGAGACCAGCCATCACAGCCTGAGCCTCCTACAGCTACCTAATCACACCCACATCAAGATCTCACAGGATCTACCATTGCTTTATGCAGTCACCTCGGTGGTTTCAGACCTACTTAGTAACTCAGTCTGAAGCAATATGCCCTCTCTCCTGATGATTTAGAAATAGCCCCTGAGTGTAGCGAGTGCCACAGGGGACTTGTGGCACATACGAGTCTGTCACAGCAAATCCCCAAATGGGTTTAGGACTTGTAAAGACTGTAAATTTGTTCTGTGTACATATATGAAGAAACACATACGTGTGTGTGTGTGTGTGTGTGTGTGTGTGTGTGTGTGTGTGTAGATCAGGAAAAAAACTTCTGAGAGTTGGTTCTCTCCAGTGTGGACTTGAGTTTCAAACACAGGTTGTCAGGCTTGGCAGCAAGCATCTTTACTCAGCGAACCATCTCCCTAGCCCCATGCTTGCCTGGCTTACACTGTGGAAGATTTGACTCCCTTTCTTCCACGGGGGGAGGCGGGGGGGTGGAGGCTGGTAGACTGGTTCTTCGCTTTTTGCTGCTTAGCCTTTGCATATCTTCAGCCTATCCAGCTGTTTCTGAATCCCTTTGTGCTCCCTCCTGCCCTTGCCCTTCTACGCTTTTCTCTTTGCGTAACGTCCCTCCCTTTTTCATCTACCTTTTCTCAATCCTGGCATCACATGGAACCTGCTTCTGGTCTTTCATCTTGGCACACCCCTCATATAGTCCCAGAGAAAGGATTCTTGAGAAGTAATAATGTCATCAATTATCAGAGAAAGGCGGGTCAGTGTGGGCAATATCTTCTTCCACGTACGTAGCTTTTAACCAACAGGAGCATAAAGAATACCTTACTCCCCACAAGAAGTATGAAGAAGGCCATTGTATTGAATTATGATTTGATTCCATAGGTTATCACAGTCAAATTCCTGCCTTAAATGTGTAGGAACCATTCCTTCCCCATTCTGAGCAAGGGGAATGGATGTTTCTGACTCCAAATTTGGGGAATACACACGGAGTGACCTGTTGCACTAATAAATTTCTTTCTCTTTAATCCTTAACATCTATCTCCATGAATGCCTTTTTTCAATGCCTGCATATAATGCAGATATGATAGATTTAGAGGTTTATCCTTCATCAGATGTGAAACTTAGGACAACAAACAGCAACAAAAGCCTCACCCAGAAACAGAAAGACATGCAACCAAGCTTCCCCAGTCCTTTGTCTCAGCTCGTGGTGTTGCCTGGATATTAGTTTATCAACACACTGGGTTTCTGCTACTGTTCCATGGCTAGAGAACACTGCAAGAAGACTACCTTGGGTATGGATGCTAGCATTTAAAACAAGGACCCACAATATAAGGTAAGTTCTTTTTAAGCAAATCCGTCTTTGGGTTTCAGATTTCATTTAACTTGTAGATTGTTTTCCCCATGCATTCTCCAGGCATTTTAATCAAACTTTATCCTGTGTAGGCCACGTGAATGGGTAAGACACATTTCTTCAGCAACAGCCCGAGAAAAAGCATACGTGAGCTGTTGCCACAAGAAACATCATCTGTCATTTCCTCACGCTATTTGAAGACAGAAGGAATCATTCTAGCTTTGAAGAATATTTATTCTTTGCTCTGCAGACCTGGAAAATGGGAGGAGGGATATTGAAATGATTTGAGTGCAGGAAATAATGTAGGTTTCAATCAGAGGGAGCATGCAAAGAGTGTGTCTTGATTGGTACAGATCCCAGGGTACCCACTAAATAAAAGCAGTATTAAATAGAGTATTCACAGTTTCACTTATGGGCTTATGCCTTGGGAACAGAACACAAAGAGATGCTGACTGATCCTTCTTTAATACATTTCAGCTATAGAAGATCCCCATGGCTAGATCTCATATCTGAGCCGATCAGAATTCCCACATGCATTGAGATTTTTGTTGTTGGAGACGGGGTCTCTCACTATATTCCTGGAACTCTCTATGGAGACCAGCCTGGCCTGGAACTCACAGAGACTTATCTGCCCCTGGCTCCCAAGTGCTGGGATTAAAAGTGTACACCACCACACCTTGCTATTGAACTATTTTTAGCAGTGTGTGTGTGTGTGTGTGTGTGTGTGTGTGATGCCCCTGTGTGTGTGCGTGCATGAGCATTCACTAGAGGCAGGTAGAAAGAGAGGACACAGGCATGCATTGAGAGCTCTACACCCATGACCTTAGTGAGTCAAATAATTAGTGGAAGAAACTCGGGTCTGCCGGTTCTAAAGCTGTGTGGCCACTATTCCAGGCTCTCTTCTCTAGCTAGCCAGCGATGAGATATTGATAACAATCTGCCGTGTCTAGAGGGTCAGTTGTTACACTCGTTTGCTGTGCCTTTTCTTTCTGTCATCTGTAATCTGTGCTGGTGAAGGGCGGAGGAGCGAGCAGAGAGGAAAATGCCCAGGGTTTCTATTGGCCTCTGCAACCCTAACCAACACACTCTTCTCAGGCTGTTTGGTTTTCTTTATTGGATAAACCTTAGATTCTAAACCCCACTGCACCGAGAATGGGGATGCCATCCCTGCAGGGACGTCCTTCCTTCTGACCTTTATCAGGCAGGGGAGAGAAACGTGGTGGAATCGCAGTTTATTGTGTAACGTGGTGGTATAAAACCACAGATCTAAGTGTGCAAGAAACGGACACACTTTGTTTCTGTTAGCAGCTATATTTTAGGGAACATTTAATAACCTAGGAAGATTCATAATATATCTGTATTGTGTTCACCCCTTTCCTAAAATCAAATACAATATTTACTAGCTAAATAAATAAATGGAAACTAATCAAATGTTAGCAATAGTTGAGGATGGATAATCTTATTTTCTTCTCCAATTTGAATTTTCCCCCCAAACACCCAAAGACAGACACTTCTTTTAGAACCAGGTAAGATCACAGCACTATTTGAGATTGTGAGGAAGTAACTGCTGTATGCTGGATGTCTCTACAAGACATCCAGCGGGACACAGAGAAGCAGGAAGACAAGGGCTCTGGATGATCCTTCCATCACAGAGCGGAGGATAGGAAAGACGGTAACTAGCAGACTGAAGACATCTACTTAATAGGAAATAGGAGGAAATAGTCTTTGGGAAAAAAAATTTGCTTATATGCTTACTGTCTTAGGTCCATCCCCAAAGCTGGTTAAACAAAATGAAAACTGAGTCTATGTTTCTTCTTTTTTGAAGATACAAGACAAAGAAACATGGGGAGAAAGTTGAAAAGGCAGTACAAGCCCCGGAATGTTCCACAGATACCTCGCATTCGAGTCCCTGCCTCTGCTGCTGACAACCCACTACTGAAGGTGCGAAATCCTGTTCCAGAAGGGAAGGCTTGTTTTCTCTTTGGAGGGTTGAGGACTTTTTTCTACTGTATGTGTAGGAGGAGAGTATTGTTTGACCCGCAGTAAGTACCTGCTGAAGGGGTAAATGAAGGCGCGCAGGGACAGCCTAACCCTAAACACCCCCAGTGGTGGAGTCGGCTAAGCAGTCTGCGTGCCTGCGTGGCTGTCCCACCACCGTGGGAGCGCACTTCATTGGCAACTTCAACATCGTGGCTTCCTGTTCATGTTGTCAGCGGCTTTCCCACCGAGCTAATTATAGCCATTCACATAGGAGCTCTAACAATTTCACTTTTTTCCCCATCTCTTCCAAGAAAGATAGGGGACCATGTAAGAATATCAGAAATGTAGCCTGCCTCTGACTTTTCATTTAGGATAGTTAAAGTTCTCAACACAGGTAAAGAAATAGGCATAGTTTTTCTTGATAAAATAAAAACTGTAATTTTCAGGATTTTTACCTGATGCAAGGGAAATTCCCATTGTACCGGGGAGCTTTGGTGTTAAAGTGGGCTAGCAATTTTCACGTTGCCTTTTCTGTAATCATGTGAAAGATGGAATTAGTTACTCAGGAATGAAATCTATCCTCTTCTTTAAATTTATAAAGCATATATAATACAGAAAAACTGAGAGGGGGTTGATTCTTGCATTGTGAGGCTCCTGGCCTTGCTATTTTTACTCTGGGCTTTCTTTTAATATCAAATTTAAAGGCCCTAGACTTAAAAAACACTTTGTCTCACAGACTTCAGATTCCAGTCCCCCACAGAATGTCTAACCGGTAAGTTGCCTTAACCTATGTTTACATGTAACAGGGTAAGGGCAGGGTTTCCACTTGGTTTTCAGTTGGCTTTGAAATTTCTGTCTCTGGGGTATTTTATATCCAAGATAAACTTATTTAACTTGGTTTTTGTAGAATGTTGATGCCATTGTCAAATTTTTCCCCTTTACTTTTGAGACAGGGTCTCATGCAGCCCAGTTAAGGCTGACTTTGAATGTCTGATCTTTCTGCCTCCCCACTCCTCATGTAACCCTGCTGTCCTGGAACTCACTGGTAGAACAGGCTGGTCTTGAACTTGAATTGCTCCTTTGACCCCTGTCTCGCAAGTGCTGGCATGTACCACCATGCCTGGTTCCTCTGTTTTCATGGCCCGCCTTTTCCTGCCAATGTTGATCTCTTAGCCCATCGCCCACTTGATATTCTATCCTAATTCCTTCCTGGGAACTTTCCACTGAACCTTTCAGCTATCTGGAAGCCTCCACCCATCAGGCTCTGAGTAGATTCCCACAGCCTTTTTTTCCTCAATAAGGATCAATAAAAGTCTCATCCTGGAAGCTTTTACATCTCCCTCGGCATAAAATTATGATTTAAAGAACCTAGAACCTTTTCCTTCCCTGTTTTCATCACCATCCAAACAAGGAGAAGATGATTTATACGAATGGTGAATGGAAATTTCCTGGTTATTCATGTCCCATAAAAATCTGTGTCACCTTAAGAGAAGCATCTTATTCCTGTGGTCACTAGTTTTTGACGCGTCACACTTGTAATTACATAGGGGTTTATCAGTCACCTCCTCGTTCTAACAGGACCTAAATCAAGGGCAGCGGTGCTACTTCTACAGCATCATGAGGATTTATGACTCCAGGCCCCAGTGGAAGGCCCTGCAGAACCGGTACATCCACAGCCTTGGGTACAAGCAGCAGCTGGGTGAGTTTAACTACCTTCCCAGAACCAGGCCTATCAGCAGGGTGCGTATTCATCACAGCCAGAAGTCACCCCTCCGGATAAATAATCCAAGAAGGATGGCCTCTGCCGACCTATTTTACCAACATGGTTGGCTAGCCAAGTTCAAAAATGATTATCCCTGACAATAGAGAGGGAAGTTTTATAGGTGAATTAAGAGGGTTTAAAGAAATTAGAGTATGGATTCTTAGAAAATGTTAACAATTCTCTGAGATTTATATGAACTTGATCTAGTAGATCAATACACTGGACTTGGAAAGCTAACACAAGCTCGGACAAGGGCTCCCCTCCTTACTGTTTGCGTAAGATCAAAGACAGTTTACTCCCAACAGTGATAACTACATGTTAGAGCATTTGACATAGCCCATGCACCCTGCCAAGAGCATTATGTACAATATAGTCATAGAACCAGAACCGCACATAAACTGTGTAATTTGATGAAGACCATTCAACCGGCCATGGTCAATGAGGTCTTCAGACCAGACAGTCGGCGATTTCTCCAAAGCCCATGGTTCTATCTGCTCATACTTTGCTCTTTCTCCCTTTCTACCAAATTCACTCAGATTATTACAAAGCACAGATGAAACCATGGTTTCCAAAGACACGAACACACCACAAGCATCAACCTGTTGGAAGGCTTCATTGCTGTTAATTCCTTTATCTTACAGAAATGTCTCTAGTTGATCACCTCCTCTACTGCATAGTCTTCCCTATTCAGGAAGAAGACTGAAATCCAGATGAGTTAAATAACCTTACCAGGGTCAAAAAAACTAGAAAACAAGGACTTGAGGTTTGTTGACTACAGAAGATTGTCTGAAGTACAGTGGAAGCCCCTTCTGCCAAGGAAACCAATAAACTTAAATGCAGAGGCGTTCAGTGGCATTCATAAAATCTGTCATATTATTAAAGTGCAGATTCCTGTGCCTTGCTCTCTGGGCTTCCGATTCAGAAGGCCTTTGAAGAGAATAGAGTTCTGAATTATAATGGGATTTTTTTTTTTTTTAAAGCACATGGACTCAGAGAATTTAGTGGGGACAGGGATGATGGTGCTTTGAGAAACTGAAAGACATATCTATCTTTTAAACCAGATGTTATCTTTCTCTGGGTTGAAGAAAGCTTTGATAACTAGGAGAAGTTTCATGAGAAGGCTAAGCATCACTCAAGTTTCTTTCCGAATGTCTTGACAAGCTATCCGGGGACTATAATCACTTGTGTTACTCAGCTCTTCTCATTCATGTGACGGACGATCTTATAGAAACCACTCTGGCTAGAGAGAACTTATTTTGGCTCAAGGTTTCTAGAGGTGCCAGTCCATCATGACAGGGAAGGCGTGAAACAGAACAGCTTTTCACATCCCAGTCAGGAAGAAGGGGAGCAAAAGAGTGTGAGTTTTCACCCACATCCAAGATGGGGCTCCCCCAGTTAATTGTCTCTAGAAAAACCTTCACAGATATACCCTCAAGGTGTGCCTCAATATTTAGGTTATCTAGGTTGTTCAGGTTGACAGTGACACTTAAGTATCATGTTCATTGAAGAAAAACATTAGAAATAAACACTTCCTGTCCCCAAGGATAGCATAACCAAGGCATGCTAATCACAGAAGTAGAACTTTTGTTCACCTTTGAGAATATTTTTGTTCTATAAAATTGTTGAGTTGAAGAGATGGCTCAGTGGTTAAGAGCACTTGCTGTTCAGTTCCCATCACCTATTGGCTACTAATCACCTGCAAGCCCAGCTCTAAGAGGGCTATCACCCACTTCTGGCCTCTGGGAACAACAGGCACACGTGTGTCAACCTACACACATTCAGCCAAAACACTCATATGCATAAAACAAAGACTCACTAAATGTTTCAAAGAAAAATATTGACCTTGAAATTCCTCTCATTTCTTTACCCAGGCTATATCACTTGGCAGGAGGCTGTGTCTTGTGCTGTTTTACTTAGGCACTCAACCATGCAAGCCTCAGCCAAGGCAGCTCCTCCAAGTGCCGTTCTCCGAAACTCTTCAGCCACACAAAGAAAATGCCGGCCCACAAAACCAGAGTCTAGAGCTGGACCAAGGACCTCCAGCGCAGCACGCTGAGCATCAGGACCATAATCTATAAAATAGGCAGCTCACAGGTGTATTCCCAGCATCCTAGTAGGCGCTTGGTGTGTGTTTGTTGTATGACAATGAAGATAAGATTACTAACAGGCTCCAAAGCTACAGAGAAACCCTGTCTCGAAAAACCAAATAAATAAATAAATAGATTACTAATAGGGCCTCTAGACCTACACATCATCCCATCTTCACATAAACAGCACAAACAAGAAGAAGATAGGAGATTTGCAAGCTATAGCGTACATAATAAGCAAGTTTTACCACACGTAGTCTATGAAATAAAGGGACTTCCAAAGCTTTCAAAGTAAAGGCTGCTTTTGAGTTCCAAAGTCCCAGTGAAGTCCGCAGGACAGTAGAAGGGGACAAGTGCCCGAACCTCTATCCCTGAGTGACCGCTTCCTGCAAGCTGCCCATTGCACTTCTGAAAATAACCAACCCACACAGCCAATACTGATTCTGGAGATTTCTGGAGTCACAGTGTTAGTGACAAATGCCACGTGCCCCTTCCTACCCTCATCCATACCAGGCAATAATATTCACTCTGGTCCTGCAGTTTCTGGTTCCTGACTTAATCTGCTTTGTGTCCTTTTGAAATTTGTGTTTATCAGTCTGGTGCTGCCAGGTTGAGTCTACACAGCTGTAATTGGCCTTGACATGGGTAAGGTAATTCATGCACACATCCGCCCCTGGCAGCAACAAACACTCTCAGCGGAACAGAAAATAGCCCCAAAGAATGGATCACAAGGCTTGTCTTTGAAGATCTTGAGAACTCGCACAAGGCCGTGTAAACAAGTAAATAACAAGGAACAGGCAGTCAGATTTCTCTACAAATGGCACCGTGCCATATTTGTTATGTTTAATAGTGACTTTCTTCACCAATTATTCTATTAACTGTGTGTGTGCCAAAAATTAGTGATCCTATACAAGCAAATTAAAAACTGTCACTTCTTTGTCTCTATTTTTTTTTAAAATGCCATTCATGTCAGCCAATGACTATCACCATGTGAGAAATTGTTGAGTTAGAACTTACTTCACAAGGGAGATGGAGCATTTGTCTGAAAAGAAGATGGGACAATTCTACCACACCCCCTTTCCAGTCCAAACCTAAAATAACAAAAATCAAAAACCCATCCTTGATAAGGCCTTCTCTTTGCAGCCATTAACATAAAAGATATGAAATCAGTCAAAAGCTTCTAAAGAGCCATATTTTAGGGCGTATAATTCTGTCTGACTTTTCTGGGTGGAGCGAGGGGCATGGTTGTCCCATGCGTGTACCAGGAAGACTTGGGATAGCAGGACAACGTTTGACCAGATGCTGCTCTGGCTCATACTGCCCATGGTCAATGTGGAGGGACTAAGGGACAATATGCCTAATCATGGAGAAGCTTCTTGACCACCCTGATTCTGACTCAAGCATTCTCTGCAGATGACGCTATTAAATTAGGGATTCTTAGGTAGCTTCTAAAAATCCCATAGAACTGGGGTGAACTGTGAGGGAATCCTCATAAGAGGTGGAGGATGGTGGCAGCCCTACCCGTCGATATTAACCTTCCTGCTACCACGTTGAGCCTTTTATCTCCAGGAACTGCTGACATGTGCTTTCAGCACGGACTTTGTGACTTGGCTGGCCTAGGCGCCTGCTGAGTAAGCATTAGCTCCTTGCACCGAATAGCAAGAATAACAAACACAGAGCATCAGCGCTGCGACCCTGCATCAGACCTCAGCAGCACGTCTCTCTGACAGAGGCTTTTACAATCAATCCTATGCGCAGGTGAATGTCAAGGGCTCGTAAGAAGGACAAACGGGTTTAATAGATGTAAATTGGTGCAGGAGCCCTTCTCACTGGTTCCCCCTTCTGAGAGGATAATGCTCCCCATTCAGCTAGAGTCCCACACTTGAAGCTTGGAAAGATGTGGTAGGTTAGGGAGCTTGAAAGAAAGATGTTCACTGAAAAGGACACTAAGAAAGATAATCAAAGAGGTAGAAAGAACACACGAAGGTTTTAGTAACCCTACTGCTTCTAGTTGGAGACTCCGCTGCTGTCGCTCACAATGACCACTATTAACACGGGGAGATCAAGGAACTATTTTACCTAAAATTGCTAACATCTGAAAGAGACCCTGACTGTTGAAGACAATCAACAAATAACACCTGTTGAACAATATTGACGTTTTCAAAGTTTGCAGTCAGACTAACTGGCCTCTGGCTTTGTGATAATGCTTCAAGGGTCCCAGGAAGCTACACCACTGGGGAGGCCTGGCAGTGGTTGTCAGGGAGAAGTGAGCAGGAGTTCATCCGAGATGCAGGCAAGAGCGGTGCAGCCAAGAACTTTCAAAAGATAAAAAAGCTGAATAACGCTGGTTTCCTTTTTATAATCGTCAAGACAGTTGGGGACAGAATGTGCTCCCCACTCTTTTCTTGATATAAATCCTAAACAATTGCTAAGGGAACAGGAGTTCTGTCTTTTAATTATCCTTTTGTCTCTGTTGGAAATAGTTAGGAAGATGCCTTGTGTTGTGGTCCTGACATTGTTTGATTGTACTGAATGGGACCCCTGGCTGGAGTTTATTCCTCATTGTGCTGATGTGGGGAGGTGGGACAGAACCACTGCAGTGTGGAGCCTCACAGATTTATGGGGAATTGTGGGAGGCATCACTCTCAGGGGAACTGATGTGGCTGTTATGAGACCCCAGGTAATTCTTATAAAAGACCATCACAAAACCCAGCAGTCATAAGATAGCAATTCTGATACTTCCTTTTGCTTCTTGGTGAGTGACCATTTTGTAAATATTCAAGTGTTCTTAGACAATTGTATATTCTTTAATGGATGACTGTGGAAATAAAACTTTATGCCCAATAAACCATACTCACTAATTGTTTTGAAATGAAAGTGTTGATCCCTGAATATGCTCAAATTCTCAATGGCTTCCCTATTTGACATTCTCTCTCTCTCTCTCTCTCTCTCTCTCTCTCTCTCTCTCTCCCTCCTCTCTCTCCCTGTTTGTCATGTTTCTCTTTCCCACTCCACGATGCCAGCTACTATGAGGTGGTGTAGCTAGGGGACCCTAGAGCCAGAATGAACACCACACTTTTAGAATTGCAGTCTCCAAAATGTGTTCTTTAAAAATAATACTTTTAAAGATGATGTTCCCAGTCTCTGATACTTCATTACAGAAAGAAAGAAAAAAAAGAAAGAGAAAGAAAAAAAACCCAGCCCAATAGAGCCTGCTGCAATATACACAGAATCAAGAGATATGTCTCTAACCACTGTACTGCATATCCTCTTTTAGCTTTCATTTTATTTATTCTTTGTCTCTTGCATATCATGTCTCCACATCATCTTTCCCAAACTCAACCATTTCCCTCCCCGCAAAAATTAAAACAAAATTTAAGAGCAGAAAGGTGAGGAGGAAGAAAGGGAGGATCTCATCACGGAAGCTATGGTGTGACACAGTGAGTCACGCAGTAAACCCCTTTAGCCATAGATTTTGCACGCAGGTATTACATGCAGGCATTCATCCCTGGTCTCTGCAGCACAATTGACGCTGGGCCCTCATGGGGACTCTTCCTGGACATCCCATTGTTGCTCTGTCATGGAGATCTTGCAGCTCTGGGTTTGCTGCACCAACTCCCACCCCCACCCAGATCACCTCCAGGGGATCACAGATGGGGTGGATGTTGGAGAGGGCTAACATAACCCTGGTCTAGGTCTGGGTAGTTGCAGAGTTGGTCAGCCTGGCAGCTCTCCCCTGTTCTCACCACCAGGGTGCGCTCTCCAGCACGGTCCTGGCTACTTCACCCCTTGTAGCAATAAGCAAGAGGTGGGGCCATTTCTCCTGCTTTCGTTTCTTCAGCATCAGCAGAGGAATGCAATCAGAAGCAGACTCTGCAGGAAGCTGTCTCACCGTTGTCCCACTGCTGGCCACATCTACCCAGAGCACTCTTAAGCTAATTTCTGGTCACTCAGTCTAGTTAGAGAATTAGCTATCTTTGAAGGCACCCGTTCTACAGCGCCGGCCCACACGGCCCTCTTGAAGTTTGTTTTCAAACTCCCAACACACTGTGGAGGAGAAACAACAGCAAGCAAATGGAAGACATTTAATAATTCATGCCTTGTTCCTGTGTAACGTATACAGTTAGAATAGTATTTATCAGAATATTAATCCGTATAGCAGACTTAGTGATGATGCTTTAATATGCAAATTCTTGTGTCCCTCTAGGCTCAATTAATCAGAGTATAAGAGATAACATCCCTGGTATTTAATACCTAAGGAAGAGTGAAGTAGAACAGCGTTTTATATTTAAGGTGTGACTCAAATAATAATATGCTTAAACCCAGAAGAGATAAATTTTTCCCTGATAAATCTGATTTTTAAAATGAGGGGTAGAAGCTTTATGATGGAAGAGATGTTGAGGGACAGGTGAGGAAAATATATCTCCCTGATAACCAGCAATATCCCATATGAATAAACTGCCTATTATTATGATTCAAAAGCCAAGGCATGCTATAGCACAGCACTGTATCCAGTAAGATGCTTTTGTTTCCCTGGAGCAGGCATTACTAACTACACAACACAGTTCCTCTAGAGTGAACCCTCGTCCTGTTTTCAGAATTCATCCCTATGTGTGATAAAGGCCAGAGGAAAAGGTCCAAGGATTCTGCATCTTTTCAAGTGAAATGAGTTCCTAATTGCATCCGTGCTTATAGAAGAAACCATATAGAAAAAAAAAACTTACAGAAGAAACCATTTTATCAGCCTCATTGACTCTGCTTTTCTCCCTAAATCAATTCACCGCCTGAAGTGTAATCAATCCCTGCTTTGGAAATCAATGTCTGTCTACCTCTAGAGGATGCTTGTGTGTTTTTCTCCACATTAAAGCTATCATAGTGTGCCAATCACACCATGGACTTAGTCAGGCCAGAAACGGGAACCTCTGCAGCTACTGACGACCACAGTTCAGAGAGGTCCAGAGAATTACTAAACTTACTACACAGGGCTGCACACTGGGATATGGCAGCATGATCTGGACCAACGAACTTCCTGCCTCGTGAAACTTACATTTGAGAGCACCTAAGAACTGCCTAGAATCTATAAAAGTTCTAGAGAAAGGAATGACTTCCTTTAATTTTTAAGATTATCTCTGTCTGTCTGTCTTTCTGTGTGTGTGTGTGTGTGTATGAGAGAGAGAGAGAGAGAGAGAGAGAGAGAGAGAGAGAGAGAGAGCGTGTGTCTCGTCTTCCATCACATATGTGAGTATCGGGCTTTGAGTTCTGGTCCTCAGGCTTGGTAGAAAATGCTTATACCCAGTGAACCATCTCACCAGACCAAATTTCTTCTTTAAAAGGTTGAGACCAGGAAGACAATTGAAATACTTCAACTGACACCGTTAACTGTTCAGGGTGTTCTGCAGGTGGATGGCTAAGAAGAAAGTGCTATATACACCCATCACAGTTTTATTCTACCATAAAGAAAAATGAAGCTTGAAGACAAATGGATAGAAATGGAAACTATTAAGTGAGATAACACATTCTCTCATATGCAATCCTGCCTTCTAATTTTGCCTTATGTGTATTTATATGGGAGGGGTATGTAGAGGCCAGGAGACCATGCAAATGACAAGGGGTGGTGGTATGGGAAGGCCTTCTGTCTATGTGTTGCTTTTATTGGTTAATGAATAAAGAAACTGTGTTGGATCTATAGCAGGGCAGAACAGAGCTAGGCATGATAAACTAAATGCTGGGAGAAAGAAGGCAGAGTCCAGAGAAACCGTGGAGCCTCCAGAGGGGAAAGATGCGAGCTGCCAGCTGGAACCTTGCCAACAAGCCACAGCCATGTGGCAATACACAAAATAATAAAAAATAATGGATTAATTCTAGATGTAAGATCTAGCTAGCAATATGCTTAAGTGATTGGCCAAACAGGGATTTAAATAATATAGTTTCTGTGTGGTTATTTTGAGATACTGGGCAGCCGGGAACAAACAAGTGGCCTCCTACTGGGGGGGGGGGCATTAAGGCAACAGTTTGTGAGGGTAACAGAATATATATTACATGAAATGGAAGGGGAGAATAATGAAGGTGGATGAGCATAACAGAGGAGGCAGGGTGGGGAACATTCCACTAAAACTTAGCATGTAACAAAACACCGTAAGGAAAGCTGCTGCTTTGTATGCTAATTAAAAAATAAAATAGAAATCAGTGACGTTTCAGAAGTCTAACTCTCTCTATAAAATATACCCTCATTAATAATGTTTTAAAATCAATCAGCTGTGATATGTGTAACATTATGCTTATGTAAGAAAACAAAGGTCAGAGGTAAAGTCCCGTAAATCAGAGGGTCTGTTGGAAGCCCATCTATGATTAGATAGGGTAAGAGAAAATAGAGTGGTGGGTAGGGGGCTGGCAAAGAGGTAAAAGGAAGAGAGTAAGCCAGAGGGGGCAGAGATGAGAGAACAAAACCAGGGGGCACGTGGCACAGTGTGGAACTTTAGAGGGTCCAGAAGAGGTCAGTAGGAGGAAAGAGCTACAGTCTCACAGAGGACAAAACCAGTGTGGGGACAGGGGAGGCAACACCTGCTGTAGGAGGAAGATGAAGAGCCAGACTAGGGTTTCAGGGCTGCCAATCAGGAGCCTGCTGCTGGGCTTGGGAACATTGCTTGGTTCAGGGAGAAGGGTAGCTGGACTCCAGGGCTGTGTCTTAGTCAGGGTTCTGTTGCTGTGAAGAGACACCATGACCACAGCAACTCTTAGAGAGGAAAACATTTCATTGAGGTTTGCTTACTGTTTCAGAGGATTAGTCCATTGTCAGCTATAGAGCTATGCCTGCTCTGGCGCCATGTGCTACGGTATGGTGTGCAGGTCGGGCAAGGGGCTAGAGATTGAAATACCACAGAAAGAGAGAGAGAGAGAGAGAGAGAGAGAGAGAGAGAGAGAGAGAGACTGGGCCTGACTTTTGAAACCTGAAAGCCCAACCCAGTGACACACTGACACACTTTCCCCAACAAGGTCACAACTACTCCACCAAGGCCACCTCTTCTAATGCCTCCCAGGTAGGGGCCACTTCCTGACAACTAAGCATTCAAATGTTAGAGCCTGTGAGGGCCACTCCACTCAAACCACAGCAGGGTGATAGGATAGAAATGTAGGCACAGACAGCACAGTGGATGTCAAAGTGCTCAGTCACCAGCTATTCTTTTTGCCTTCTTGGAACTCCCATTTAATCCCACTTTCTAAGTCCATTGTACAGAGCATTTCACTTCCACACAGTGGAAGACACACTGAAGAGGGCTGGAGTCTCACGATGGAGTCCTATCCGGGAGAGCATATTGTTACTGCAATGGATTTCATTGCTCTCTTAGCACACTGTGAAAGAGGACCTTATGAATAATGGCCGCTGCAGACTCTCAGAGCCAATCCTTTGAAGGGGGGATCTGGAGCCACGGAGTGGTTTTCAGGGAAGAAACTGAGATGAGTAAAGGCGAAATTCCAGATTCTATAGCATGCAGACAATGGAATGATTCATTTTAGAGATGGGGTACAATGGTACTGCTATAAATACAGAGCCTTTTAAGACAGACCACTCCATGTGCAACAGTTAGGAATACATTAAAGAGAGGAAATTAAAGTCAGATCAAAACCTCTTAACACAACATCAGCTGTTTCAATCAGAAAACAGAGGGAGCCTTTCCCCCAACCTCTTCTTTGTAGCTAATGGTTTGCAGCCCATGCTAATTTCAGTAAATGCAGGGAGTGATTACAGTCAGCACTTAGCATACGAGAAAATGATTTAAGACATATATATATATATATATATATATATATATATATATATATGAAAATTTAGTCCCTGTAGAAT